TTGATTTTAAACCTTTGGCAGCACTGAAGACGGCTGTCTTAGTTTCTTGAAGACGGCTGTCTTCATTTCTTAGCGTGGAAGTACTCTTGGGTTTGGTATCATCTGCCTGTCGTCTTTGTTCACATTGTTTTTACTCGTTTTAAAAATATGTTTCCAGAATTATACTTAATTGCTGGAAACGTTGATTTTTCTTGAGTGACAAACCAATTAAGTGTGTATGACACCAGGCAACAAAGACACTTAAGATTCTGTGCTTATCCTGTCTCTGAGAAAAATCCATTATTCATCATCTTATTGTTTTTAAATACTGAGGTAACATTTTCGATATAATAGGGAAATTGCTTTGGAAGTGGAATAGATTACTTGCCGGCTCAGAGGCTCCATTTCTGGAGTCACAGTTCCCAAGCATGATGCTGTTGATACTCATTGTTTTCCCTGCGCATTGTGCCGGCCTTTTCCTCAAACTGGGTAAGATTGTGACTTTTGCTAAAATGGAACATGCTCACCAAGAGAACATAGTGAAAAAACTTAGAAATCTCATTTTGTATATACTGTGTTAGCATATACTTCAGGGGTACTTTCCATTTTCATTGCATCTTGTATAAATACTTTCTAGTTGAATGTTTTAAAGAAATGATCTTACACAGAAAAATAAGCAAAAAAGGAATTTTTAAGGGAGCACATGCTGTTCCTGTTAGTTTAGGCCTGTTACTTCACAGATCAGCACCCACCATGCAGTTTTTTGCCTAAATTGTCTACAAGGATTACAGCATGTAGTACGGATGCTCTTTGAGGCTGTTGGTAGTGGTGGGAGCCTTAGGTGATCTGGGAGAGGGGACACTAGGAGCATTTTGCCTGGTAGAGTGGGACCTTCAGAGGGCTGACAGGTGAGCACGGCATCACTCAGCACCTTTCCTTCCAGCCCCGGCTGGCTCGCTGTGCCACTGGGTGGGTCACATTCCAAGGTGTCTCTCTGGTTGTGCATGGGCAGGTGGTTCATTGGGTTTGGGTCGACCTCACGTGTGTTGTTTCCTTGGGTAAGTCAACTTTGGAGTGAAAGTTGATTCACGTTCATAAGAGGCTCCTGAAGCACCTGACCAGATTAGTCTGCCTAGAAGTCGTTTACCTTCCTTCTAGCAGTGATGAGTGCCTGTTTTCCCAAGACTAAACTTGAAGGATTATTTTGTTCCAATTAATAAGCAAGCTATGTTCTCCCCTTATTTGAATTTGCACGTCTTAAAAGTCCTTTCTGAAAATGACAAATCTGTGCCAGGCTCAAACCTCTCGCCAGCTTCCTCAGCAGCCCTGGTGCTGCTGGCGGGCAGGAGGTGGGAAGTGATAGGTTCCTTGGCACTGTTCATGGCACTCATGTTGGTGGGTGTTTAAATATATAGCCTGTTTACAGTCGTCATTCCATATCCGCGGATTCTACATCCGCCGATGAGCCAGCCAGCTGGATTGTAGGTATTTTTGGGAAGATGGCTTCTCAGGAGCAGTTACGTGGTCAGAGCCGATCTCTCCAGGGCTGAGAGCAGGTGAAGTTCTGTTCATACTGTAACTAACCTGGAGGGGGTGGGCAGTGGACGTGCCTGGCTGGCTGTGTGCGAATGCCACACCATTTCCTCAGGGTGTCGAGCATCTGAGATTTAAATACCCAAGGTGGGCATGGGGTGGCTCCTGGAACCAGTCCTCTGTGGATGTCCAGGGACGACTGTCTGCCAAGTGTGTTTTAAGTTTCATGACTATATAGCACTCTATTTTTGGAACTCTTCTGAAGGAATTCATGCAGAAGTATGGGAAAAGTTATGTGCAAGTAACTCTTAATTGAAAATTGTGTAATGCTTCCCTTGTTCCTAGGGGAGTGACTCAGTACCTGTTGGAGTAGTTTGCAGTCGCCTAATGTTAGAGAGATTATGGGGCACAATATGGGGCAGGTCAGCCTTGCCTGCCTTTTGAAGGACATTTTTTTGCTGCCATTGCAGCTACTTGTCTCTGGACTCTTCACAGCAGTTACTTAGAAAACAAAGTCTAGTGAAGCAGCTTTGGAGATCTTGGCCTCTGACCTAATCTCAGAATCCCAGTCGGCAAAGTGCTGCCTGACCTTGTGAACACACACAGTTCCACACTCACACAGTTCCCTACACATAGTTACACACACAGTCACACATAGTTCTATACAGTCACACACATATATGCACACACTCTCTCTCTCCCTCCCTGGAGCTTACTTTCTGCCGATCCAGAGTTTGTCCTGTGTGTTTAACTGTCTCAACGTTGCTCCTCTGAGTTCTGAGCAGAGTGCAAATCCCTGCCGTCACTGTCTGCAGGAGTCCCCTCACTGGCCTTCGTTTCCGAGATGTTGGCTGTGAGAGTGATGAGATCCTGAGGAAGAAGATGGGGTGATGATGAAGGTGGTGTGCGTGCTGCCGGGTCTATCCACATGCTTTATTGATGACACGGGTCTGTCGGAGCACAGGCCATAGAGGAAGGGCAGCAGGAAAGGAGCGCTCTCTGCCCAGCATAGAAGCCCTGGAGGCTTCCAGGCAGTGGCAAAATGGCCGTGTCCCTGTGGTTCACCTCCCTGACTCTCCCACCATACCCGTCTATCTCATGAACACCTGCAGTGTCAGTGGACGACTTGGATCGCCGACCCACAGGCTGGATTCTGCTTTTGTTTTGAGGAGCTCTCAGCTCCCACTGGTTCCTTCCTCTTTCCCTTTACCACCCAGCCTTCCAGCGGATGTCTGCCCCTTCCAGACGCCATCCTCTGGGCTCAGGCACGTGGGGTTGCCATGAGTCAGCACTGGCTTTGATGGCAGCTGGCTTCACTTATGTCAGAGCAGTGGGTCTCAGGTTTTGTTTACTTTGTCTGTGGTTTTGGGGGGGATGTGTAGATGGCCAGCGTACCCTGGGAACCCAGATATCTCTTTGGGGTCAGGATAATCCCAACCACAAAAGCTTAATGTAAAATTACCTAACAAGGCTTTTGTTGAATCTCCATTATAGTTTCTGACAGATTGCTGGTTCTCCGAGAGGTGGTGGGGGTCTTGTTGGACACTGTCAAGTCCACTCTGCCTCTGAGAGACCCCACATGACAGAGGAGAACTGTTGCCCCCCAAGGTTTCCAAGGCTGTCAATCTTTACGGAAATAAAAACTCTAAAACTCACTGCTGTCGAGTTGGATCTGACTCATAGCGACCCCGCCTTGGGTTTCTGAGGCGGTATCACTGCAGAAACAGATTGCCTAATCTTCCTTCTGAGGAGTAGCTGGTGGGTTTGAACCACCAGGCTTCTGGTTAGCAGTCAGATGCCTTAAACCCACTGCCATGGAGTCCATTCTCACAGCACCCCTACAGGACAGAGTGGAACTGCCCCACAGGGTTTCCAAGGCTGTCAGTCTTCACAGAAGCAAAACCCAAACCACATCCACTGTCGTGGAGTCCATTCTGACCCACAGCGCCCCTAGAGGACAGAGTGGAACTGCCCCAGAGGGTCTCCCAGGCTGTCCACCTGGGAGCAGACTGCCAGGTCTTCCTCCCACAGGGTGACTGGTGGGTGTGAATCACCGTCCTTTCAGTTGAGTTGCTGAGTTCCTAACCGTTGCACCAGGGGCTTTCGTTTTTTGGGATATGTGGTATAGTAAATTACTTTGTGTGGCTTTTCTACCCATAAGTCTTTGTAAACTCCAAGGTGGAATTTGCTATGAGCAACTGAGGAGCTCCTGATTGCTGAAGGTGTCCACCTGGAGTATTTCTGTTGGGAGTGGCACAAAACAATGTTCTGGGAGGTGCCCACTCTCTCTCAGGTGCTTAGAGTTCTGATGCCATAATTGGCTAGTTTGACCACCCTGCGGGCTCTAAAGGAGACCTCTTGGAGGCGGAACTCTCTCAGACTGCTGGTTGAGGAAGACTTGCTGCTGAAAGAGACACGGGCTCCTGAGACACACATTGCTGGGAAAGAGATGCAAGAGACACGCACCCCGGAAAGAGACTGTGAGGGACTCTTGGCTGAGGGACGGTGGGCTGGGAGAGAGACTGAGCGTTCTTCCTGAATTTGAGTTGTAGACTGGTGCTTCCCTAATAAACCCTGTAATCTGTGAGTTCTGTGTGGCCACTGCAGTGAATTATCGAACCCAGGAGAGAGGTGGTGGGTGCTTTGGGAGGAACAGTTGGTGAAAGGGCTGGATCGGGAGGCAGCACGTTTGGCCTTGCAGTAATAGGCCTTGGGTTACTGCTGTCTTCCTCTTGTGAGATTAGAGGAGGTCAGAACATGTGGCCTCCTTATCGTTTTTGCAGGATATAAACGTGCTCTTGACCGAGGACAGGAAAGAAGAGCTGTACACTGCTGGGAGGAGCTGTTGTGTCTGGAGTTGCATGAGGATTGCATGTTAATGGGTGTACTGGCCAAAGAGAAGATTATTTTATTGAATGGAGTTTGAGTAAAAGGCACAACAGAGATGGAAAATGAATGAGACATATCATCATTCTAATGACTTGCCAAGAGACAGTTTCATGTGTTTCAGTGTAAAGACAATTTCGTGTTGTCAGAAGTAGCTTCCAGAACTTTGACTGATGAGTGCTAAGTTGGTCACATCTTAGCTCCCATCCATTGCTCACACTGAGTGTTGAAATAGTCTGTGGAGTTATGGATTTGCTACTAGTGATTTTGCTACTATTGACTTCTGGGTTAGTGAATTGAACACTTCAAGGAGATGCTGTTGGCTGGCTGTACCTGCCAAAGCCTCCATGAGGGTAGTGAGCAAGCCTGGTGGTGCAGCTCCCCAGGCAGCTGGCTGTCCCACGTGCCTGGGCTGGTTTGTTGACTTCGTGTGTGGAGGAGGCTGCTCATGATACACAGTGGCAGTGGTCTGCCCCAGCTGAACGGTCCTCAGTCGGGATTTGATTTGAGGGAACAAGAAGTGTTTGCTTAGTGGTCTTAGAGCTGATGCTTCCCTGAATAAAACTGTGTCAGTAACCGCTCTTGTCCTAACCAGGTATCAGCTGGAGGATGAGGCTGCCCACTTGGACGAAATGCCACTGATGATGTCAGAAGAAGGATTTGAAAACGACGAAGGTGACTACCACACGTTACCACGAGCCAGGATAACGCGGAGAAAGAGAGGGCTAGAGTGGCTCGTTTGTGGAGGATGGAAATGCCTCTGTGCCAGGTTCGTTGTTGTTCTGGTTCTCACAAATGGGATGGCGTGAACAAACAGGAGTTTATTCTCAACAATTTAGAGGCTAGAAGTCCGAGTTCAAAGTGCCAGGCTCTAGGGGCTGGGAGAAAGCCTCTCGACTTTGGGCTTCCGCTCTGCCTCTTGCTCCTGGCCCGCTGAAGCCCGAGGCTTTTCTTTACTCAGGCAGCTACTGGCTGCTGAAGCTAACAAGCCCAAGGTCGACATATAAAATGGCACAGTCCCGATGTTACAAACCACGTGGCAGGCCATTGATTTAAGTCCATTGTAAGTCCTCAGGTCAGCACAGCATGGCAGGCTGCTGAACAGCGACCGCTAAATGCTGGGTCCAAGTGTGCCGAAAGCTAGAGACCGTTCCCCAAGGCTTCTGCTTATATATGGGAAGCAGACCACATTCCCTAAGGCAGCTGCTCAGCTGCTCCCAGGAGATTGCACCATGGAGTCAGTTACCAGTCTCATCATGGGGAACACTACATCCAGCTGCCCAGCCATTCAGCAGGCCCAGCCAAGTTGATACGCAGACTGAACTAGCACAGCTGTCCACTGCTTCCTGCCGCCGTGGGCCCGAGGCTGCTGGCCAAGCTGCTGATAGCTAAGTTCTTGTAACGTATTTATTGTTCAGTCAGACTAAAGAATATATTCTCTCACGACATCACAAGGAGTATGAATAGCGTCAGTCAAAGCTGAATAACCTAATCTGAAAGGAAGGGAAAACAAAGCATATTTAATGAGAGGTGTTTCTGGTTAGGAGATGGGGGAAATGATTGAATCGTGATGTACTCATGTAGACTAATTCCAGTCACTGCGTCGATACTTATAAACTGGGTCTCTCTCCTGTTCGTGATTGTACTCTTCTCTAAAAGAGTGTGGGCCTGTAAAGATGCAGTCTGGTCATGCTGGCCACTGGGCATCACCCAGCTCTAACTCTGGACTGGGCTGAGTCTTAATCAAGAAACTCACCAAGAACAAAGTCAAGATAAGAACTCCCATTTTGAACACGTTCACTGGTGGTTGAGGTCGACCAATGCTGTGTACAATGCGTGTGCACTTCAGAGTGGGGTAGGGGGTCCCGTTATGTGGGAGACACCCTTGCTTCCAGGCCAGCCCCGGGATTGCTGCGGGCCCCTCAGCCATTGACCACAGGAACAGGGTGAGGGGCTGGGCAGGATTTTGGCTTGCCGTCCCCTTTAGCTTTTGGTCCAGGTAGCACGTCTTTATCGTCTTCATGTACTGTAAGCTTTCAAGTGGAGAGAAAATACCATGGGTTAGTAGGGTTTTAGAAATTATTAAATTAATTGATTTAAAGGCAGCAGAGGTTAAATGCTATTACATATACAATTCTGCAGTAACAGGAATAAAATAAGCTACAAGTAGATACATAGATAGACATTCAAGCTGAATGGGGTGGGAAGGTGAGTGGGACTAAACTCATGAACCTGTCTATGTAGGTTTGACAGAGGATGTCTCTATAGGTGTACTTAGATGTTCTGAAAATATATACATGTGTGTAGTAGGCCATCCAGGGGCAAAGTTAGGAAAACTTCTCAGTCATAACCAAACACCTTGAGGGAATGAATCTCTGGGCCTAGGGGCTCAGGACCATAATCTTGGGGGGTCATCTGGTACAACACAGTATGCATAGCAAATGTGGGAGCATGCTACTGGTGAGTAGTGACTGTGGTCTTATACACTCGTGAACGACCGTCTGAGGTGCAACTACTGGTCTCTTCCTGTTTGGAACAAAGAAGAGTGAAGAAAATCAGACACGTGGGGACAGTTAATTCCAAGGACTAATGGCTCATATGAACTTCAGCCTTCGTTACCCTGAGACAGGAGCTAGATGGTGTCCGGCTTCTGCTGCTGACGGCTCCGAAGTGGATCACAGTGGAAGGTCCTGGATCGAGTGGGGGGTAACTGAGGAACACCACTCAAAATCGTAAAATAGACCAGGCTCGCTGGTTGAGTAGAGACGGTGGGCCCTCAAGACTATGGCCCTTAGACACCCTTCGAGCCAGGAACTCAGCTTACCCCAGTGCCTTAGTATTCACCAAAGCAATGGTCAGGCCATAAGGTGAAGAGTAACCCCAGGGATAAAGCTCAGAGGCAAGGATGGTAGGACGGATGAAGGGACAGTAAACTCGGGGAGAAAGCGGGAAGAGTGGTGTTCCCTTTGGGGGTTGTAACCGCTGTCAGGAAGCAAAATGTGTGTACATTGTTGCATGGAAGACTGCTTTGCTCTGTAAACTTTCACCCAAATCATGGTAAAAAGTTTAAAAAATTTAAATGGTCATGGCTTGTTTAAAAAGCATTTTCTAGCTTCAGGAGCCAGTCTTCCTGTGGTCCTTGAGCGTTCTTTTTGGCTGTGTCCTTAACTTGAGAGTCAGTTGCTGTGACAGGTAGGTCTGTTCAGATTTTTTTTTTTCTCGTGTCACTTAGGGTGGGTTGTGCTTTTTTTTCAGTGACCTGTTTTCAAATTTGTCTTGGCAAAACATTAGTCCTAATGTCCTCCTGTGATCTTTGGAATGTCGCAGGGTCTGTAGTGATGTATTCTTTTTTCGTTCCTGAAATTGGTAAAAGCGTTTTCTCTCTCTCACTTTTCTTTTTTATATTGATAGGCGATTGTCAATTTTATTCTTTTCAAAGAGCCAAATATTTGGTGCTATCTTTTCTTTTGTCTGTTTTCTTCTGTTTTAAAACTTATCTTGAGATGAATTCAGATTTGCAGAAGTTGGAAGAATAGTGCTGAGAACTCATACCTTTTGCACAGACTCTCCAATTTTAACCTTTTCCCACATTTTGTCATTCTTGATCTTATTTTTTTAGGGTCATTTGAGACTAGCTGCTTAGTTAATGCCTCTTTCACATGTTAATACTTCAGTGTGTATGCCTTCAGAAAAGGGTAATTTCGTTTGTGAGCATAGTACAGTTACCAAGTTCAAGGTGTTTACACTGATGCACTTACTTTTTATGTCTGCTTTAAGCCCCTATTCTGACTCTGTCTGCTGCCTGGGTGTTCTCCACATGGATTCTTCTCCCTCGGAGAGTGGATCTGGCCTAGAGCCATGTTTAATTTCCTTTAATCTAGAACATTCTTTAATATTTCTTTGTCTTTCATCTCATTGAAGTTGTTGAAAAGTACTGAGAAGTCCTGGTGGCACAGTGATTAAAGCACCCGGCTGCTAACCGAAGGTGGTTTGAACCCACCAATTGCTGCACAGGAGAGAGATGAGGCAGTTGGCTTCCGTGAAGACTGACAGCCTTGGAAACACCATGGGGCAGTTCCACTGTGTCCTCTAGGGGTGCTATGAGTCAGAATCGACTCCACAGCTGTGGGTGTGGTTTGGGCTTTGCTTCTGTGAAGATTGACAGCCTTGGAAACACCATGGGGCAGTTCCACTCTGTCCTCTAGTGGCGCTGTGAGTTGGAATCAACTCTACGGCAGTGGGTGTGGTTTAGGCTTTGCTTCCCTGAAGATGGACAGTCAGCCTTGGAGACCCTGTGGGGCAGTTCCACTCTGTCCTCTAGGGGCTTTGGGAGTCAGAATCGACTCCTCGTTGGTGGGTTTGTCTAGTACTTCGTCTGCTGAGTTGGTTTTGAACCTTGGTCAAACATCAGTTGGCCGCATGTGAGTGGGGCTGACTCTTCTGCTTGGTCTGTGCACGCTGTGCCTCTTCCTCTGCCAGTGCCACACAGTCTTGATGGTGTGTATTTCGTACATCTTCACATGGAGTAGTGTGGTGCCTTCCACTGTGTTCATTTGCCACACTGTTTTCACTATTCTGCTTACTTAACCTTTTGATATAAATTCTAGAATCATCTCGTCCACCTCTGCAAAATCGTGGTTGAGTTGCATTAAACTTGTATGTTACTCAGGGGATCTGACATCTCTGTTAGGCTAAGTCTTCTGGACCACACACATGGGATTTGTCTATTTATTTACACCCACTATCATTTCTTTTGGGAGCTCTGGTGGCATATTGCCTAAGGCATCTGACAGCTGACCAGAAGGCTGGCAGTTCAAATCCACCAGCCACTCCTCGGAAGGAAGTTGAGGCAATCTACTTCTGTAGAGACACTGCCTCGGAAACCCAAAGTGAGGTTGCTTTGAGTCAGGACTGATTCGATGGCAATGAGTGTGTTTTGTTTCTCATTTTTTACATCAGTGTATTCTGTAGTTTTCAGTATCCATACCCTTCTGTGTTAGGTTTATTATTATTGCATTTTCTTCAGTGATTTTAAATACTACGGCTTTTTTTTTTTTTAATTTTTATTGTGATTTGGATGAAAGTTTACAGAGCAAATTCATTTTCCATACAGCAGCTCACATACACTTTGTGTCATGACATTGACTGCAATTTCCCACAGTGCAACAGCTCCCCTCCCGCTTCCTTCTCATAGTTACCTCTTCCCTGTATCCTTTCCTCCATGCACTCCTGTCCCCCAAGCTGTCTACTTGTGCATACACAACCCTTCTACTCTCCCATGATTGCTCTCTCCAATGAGTGTATCTACCTAATGTAAATGTTCAGCTCATACGCCTGTCTTTTGTTTGGCTAGAAGCCACAGGAGTGGGTTCAATTCCAGACTTGAAGGGCAGCTAGGGGCCATAGTCTCAGTGGTTCCATCAGGTTCTTACCAGACCAGTAAACCTGGTTCCTTTTCTTTTATGAACTATGACATAACTATGACATTTGTTTTAAATAGGATTTTTATTGATTATAAAACATTTCAACAAGCATAAAAGCTTCCAATTTTTTTTTTCCTTCTCCCCACTTAATAAGTGAGTAGTATGGCATCTTAAACATTGGTTTCCACTTGTCTGTTGCTACATAGAAACAAAGTTGGGCTTTATATTTTGATCTTGTATCCTGCAACTTTGCTTAACTCACTCATTAATTCTAGGAGTGTTTTTTGTAGACTCTTTGGAACTTCTGCATGGATAGTTACGTCATCTGTAAACAGGGACAACTTGG